GTTCCCGCTCACTGGCTGAGCGAGGCGCGGGAGCAGCACCGAGGGTTGCGATCCCGTTGCCGGTCCCCGGTCCGGTACGGGGGCAACACTGAGGGTTGCGATCCGTTGCCAGACACGGAAAAAGATAAAAGACAAAAAAAATAAAAAATAAAAAAAATAATAATAATATTTCTTATGGTAAAAATCTAACATTACACAAGAGTATAAAGTAAAAGCTCTTTTTCTCTTTGGTCATCCAAGTCCCATGTCATAGGAGTCACAACTTATAGTCACAAAACCTTCCCTCTGAAGGTCTTCTCTGCACATAAGTATTTTTTTAATACCACAAATAGGATTATTCTCTGCATGCTATTCTGCATCTTGTTTTTACTTTAACAATATATGTTTAAAACTTTCAGTATATATGGATCTAATTTTTTTTTCCAAAGCTGTAGAGCAATGTCATTATGTATTTACCATTGTTTGCTTTACCTGTTCTTCTTTATTTGATGTACATTTAAGGTTATTTCTAATTTGTCACTACTGTAAATGAGGCTGGAATGAAAGTCTTTATGTGCATATATTGGTGCATTTGTGCAAGTATGTCTGTAGGTTAGAATCTTAAATGTGAAATTGCTTGATCGAAAGTACAAGGGCTGGCTGGTTAACTCAGTTGGTTAGAGTGCAGTGTTATAATACAGGTTAAGGGTTCAGATCCTCATACCGGCCGGCCACCAAAAAAATTTTTGTAAGTAATGTGCATTATTTACTTTCATAGGTATTAATAAATTTACCTTTCAAAATGGATATAATCAATTTATACTCCTACCAACAGTGTATGAAGGCACTCAATGATATGTGTTAAATCAAAGAATAATGTATTAGAGAGCTGCACTTGCCCATGATATTTTACTCAGTAAAATTATCCTTTCATGACACCTTAAATATAGGAAAATGGTTCTTTCTCTCAAGATAATGTTTCGTATTAGCCAGTTTATTATTTGCTGTAAATTTTATGCGTAAGTAGGGATAATTATATATTTGACCAAATTTTAGTGTCTTGGCTGATGAACGTCCTTTGACAACATCTTGTTTCATCAGCTGTGTTTCAGTCCCCCCTTTTAAGTCTGAAACAAAGTCAGCTTTTACATCAGTACTGCCCATCATTTCAAAATACCTGTTGCATCTTTGAATTCAGTGAGCCCCATCTAGGAGGATAATTCCAGGCTAACTACCCACACACTGTGTATTACTACCATTGCAAAGCATCTAGTCCCGTGAGAACATCCCTACGACCAGTACAAAAAGAAACTTTTGTTTTCCAGTGCTTTCCCTATAGAACAAGAAAGGGTATAGCACCCAAATCTCAATCTCAGAGGTGTATGATAACAAATTCATATCCATTGTAGGCTACAGATCAAAACAGATTAGAGTTATATAGAGCACAAGCTTCCAAGAACTAAAGATTCACCTGATGACAATAGTAGTAAGTTATATAAATAAATGTTTTGCTTGCTTTTCCCATTCATTGATTACATTGTTTTTTATAATACTTATTGCCAGGAAACATTATTTTAGGACTGAATTCTTTTGGGGCTTGTGCGTTTGTATGTAGATAAGGGATTACAATAATTTACCTTGTTCACTTCCTCTAGGTTTCCACCGCTGTGTTATCTATTACTGCCAAGGCTAAAAAGAAGGAAAAAGAAAAAGAAAAAAAGGAGGAGGAGAAAATGGAAGTGGTAGGTATAGCTTGGTTGTCATGTAGGTTTATGTATCTATCTCTGTCATGATCTAGATGCTTTTTTGATGGAACATTATTATACATTGTTCTTGGCTTACTTCAAATAATTATTCTGTTCCCAGCATATAAAATCATATAATTTTACTTGAAAAAGCCTCTAGAAATTATATCCATTTGTGGGGAGAATAGAAGGATACAAATCAGGCTCTTTCATACATAGGGATTATCATTTGTTTAAATAGACCCTCTTTTTCTGATCTCTGCTGGTAGAAAAACCTCCTCATCCCTTAAAACCAAATCAAATACTATTTTCACCCCCAAGCAAAGTTACTTTCTCTTTCTTCTGAATCTGGTATTACTTTTGTTGTACTTCCATTATGTCTACCACTACTTTTTATATCTAATAGTTGCTCAGTAAATTTATCAAGCATTACTCAGTGATGTGGAACAGAAGTGAACCATTTTTGAGGGTTTTTTGTTGTTGTTGTTGTTGTTGGTTTATTTAATTTTCTAGGATGAGGCAGAGAAAAAGGAAGAAAAAGAGAAGAAGAAAGAACCTGAGCCAAACTTCCAGTTATTGGATAACCCGGCTCGAGTTATGCCTGCCCAACTTAAGGTCCTAACCATGCCAGAGACCTGTAGATACCAGCCTTTCAAACCAGTAAGTTACCAGTGGCTCTTAGCTATATATTCCAGTGGGATATTAATCTGTGGGAAAATGGAATATCGTTAGAGAATGATAAATCTCCAAAATATTGGAGCAAGCTCTCTAGCACAAAGAAATAGCTTAGCAAAAGAGAGAACATTCCCCTCCACTTTATATAGATTTGGGGGAGCTTTTCCTTTCCCTGTGTAACCCTACAAACTCCTCTCTTCTGCCACAGACTTATGCCATAGAAGTTCCTAACACGGCATAGTGATTAGGAACATGTAGAGCAAGACCTACTAGGTTTGAATCTTGGACAAGGTACTAAACCTCTCTTTCCCTCAGTTTTCTCTACTGTGAAATTTGGATTATCATCCCTAACCCATAGGAATATGACACAAATTAAACAAATAAAGACGCAAACCTTAAGAAGAAGACCTGGCACTGTTCAGTAGGTGTTGATCATCAGTATAATTACACTGCTATCATAAACACATTGAATCTTAGAGTTAGAAAAGGATCTTCATGCCATTTAATTTATTTCAAGGCAGAATTTTTATGTTAGAAACAAATTGTAGTCAGATATTTGAGCATGATCTGCCTTTATCTTCCAGGTTCTTGTATTTAGAAAACTAGAGACCCATCAGTAGACCCATTCAAGATATTCAGATACTGGATCTGTCTAAAATGTCATATATGAGGTCACTAGGTCCTTACACAACAGTAAACTTATTCTTATCAACCTGACAGTGGGTCAAAGGCAACTCTTACCTACACTTGTAAGCCAAGATCTTACCCGACTAGACTATCAGCTAAAGGAGACAAAGACAGGGGATGGAAGATAGTGTATGTAGTGGTTTAGAGCAGGAATTAGGTATAACTGGGCTTATATTTCAGCTCTGCCATTTCTTAGCTGTGTGACTGAAACAAATCATTTAATCTCTTTGTGTTTCTTTTTCTCAACTGTGAAATTATAGTAATGCTAGAGTTGTAAAGATGAAATAGGTTATTACATACAAAGCAATGGTAAATGCTGATCTGTAGCATTACGTGATCTGTAGTAGTTGCTCTTTAGTGTTAAATCAGTGAATTGACAGAAATACCAGTGGCCACCTTAAATGTAGTCACTGTGTGATCTGCAACCCAGTTCATCTTAGTGGCATGTTACAGAGAATTCTAATAGTGTCTATAAACTTCTCTTGCCAGTCGAAGTGGGATATATCCAGAACAGATGTATGAGGACACAGCTAATGCATAATCTTAAGCACATGAGATATCAAGTGCCTTTCACAGTTATGAAGAACTAATGACAGTGGAGCATAGGCGCAGGGCATTATAATAACAGCACAAAGGAGTGGCAGAACACAGCTGTCTAGGAGCAAAATTTTTATGTACCATCAAAATTAAATTGTTATTAGTCAAGCTAGATTGTTAAGATATTATTTGTAATCTTAAGGCAGTCACTAAGAAAATAAGTCAAAAAGATAAAGTAAAAGAACAGGGAATTAAAATGGTTCACTAGGGCCGGCCCGGTGCGCCGCTTGGGAGTGCGGCGGCACCCCCGCCGAGGGATCGGTTCCCACATACAGACCGGTTCCCACTCACTGGCTGAGCGAGGTGTGGGAGCAACACCGAGGGTTGCGATCCCGTTGCCGGTCCCGGTCCGGTACGGGCGCGACACTGAGGGTTGTGATCCGTTGCCGGACACGAAAAAAGACAAAAAGGAAAAAAAATAATAATAAAATAAAATGGTTCACTAGAAAATATCTGTTTAATGCCGAAGAAGCCAGCAGTGGAGGAATAAAGGAACAAAAAGATATAAGACATACAGAAAACAAATAGTAAAATTGCAGGTGTAAATCATACCTTATCAGCAATTACATGAAATGTAAGTAGCTTAAACACTCCAATTAAAAGACAGAGATTAGGGCCGGCCCGGTGGCGCACTGGATAGTGCGCCACTTGGGAAGCGCGGCGGCGCTCCCTCCCGAGGGTTCGGATCCCACATGCGGACCGGTTCCCGCTCACTGGCTGAGCGAGGCGCGGGAGCAACACCGAGGGTTGCGATCCCGTTGCCGGTCCCCGGTCCGGTACGGGGGCAACACTGAGGGTTGCGATCCGTTGCTGGACACGGAAAAAGACAAAAAGACAAAAAAAAAAAAAAGACAGAGATTAGCCAAATGGATTTTTTTACATGATCGAACTACATGCTCTCTCGAAAAGATATGCTTTAAATTCAAAGACACAGATAGAAAGCAGAGGATGGGAAAAGATATGCCATGCAAGTAGTAACCAAAAGAGAGCTAGAGCAGCTATACTAATATAGACAAAATAGACTTTAAGACAAAAATTGTTGCTACAGGGCCGGCCCGGTGGCGCACTGCTACAGTGCGCCACTTGGGAGCTCGGTGGCGCTCCCGCCAAGGGTTCGGATCCCACATACAGACCGGTTCCTGCTCACTGGCTGAGTGACGTGTGGGCACAGCTCCGAGGGTTGCGATCCCGTTGCTGGTCCCGGTTCGGTACGGGCGCGACACTGAGGGTTGCGATCCGTTGCCGGACACGAAAAAAGACAAAAAGGAAAAAAAAAATTGTTGCTACAGAGAGGAGTATTTTATAAGGGTTGATCCATCAGGGAGATACAGCTATTAAAACATGTGCATCTAACAACAGTGCCCCAAAATACATGAAGGAAAAACTGACAAAACCAAAGTGAGAATTAGACAATTCAACAATAATAGTTGGAGACTTTAGTACTCCACTTTCAATAACGGGTAGAACGACTAGGCAGAAGATCAACAAAGAAATAAATGACTTGAATAACATTATAAGCAAACTAGACCTAATACATTAATAGAATAATCCACCCAACAATAGCAGAGTACACATTCTTCTCAAGTAGACATAGAACATGCTCCAGGGTACACCATATATTACGCCATAAAACAAGTATCAATAAATTTAAAAGGGTTGAAATCATACAAAATATATTATCTGACCACAAGTGAATGAAAATAGAAATCAGTAACAGAATAAAATTTGGGGAAATCACAAGGATGTGGAAATGAAGCAATACATTTCTAAATAACCAATAGATCAAAGAAGAAATGCATGAGAAATTAGAAAATACTTGGAGAGAAATGAAAAGGAAAATACAATATGTTAAACTTATGGAATTTAGTACAAACAGTGCTTAGAGGGAAATGTATAGCTGTAAATACCCATACTGAAAAAAGATCTCAAAACAATAACCTAAGCTTCCATCTTGAGAAACTAGAAAAAAGAAGTGCAAACTAAACCAAAATCAATCAGAAGGAAGGAAATGATCAATATTTGAGCAGAAATTAATGAAATAGGGGGAAAAAATAATAGAGAAAATTAACAATGTCAAAAGTTGGTTTTTTAAAAGATCAGTGAAATTGATAAATCTCTACTTAGATAAAGAGAAAAAGACTCAAATTACTAAAAACAGGAAAGAAATGGGACATTACGACTGACCTTAAAGAAACAAAAGGATTATAAGAGAGTGCTATGAGTAATTGTGTGCCAACAAATTAGATAACTTAGACGAAATGAACAATTTTCTATAAAGACACAAACTATGAAAACTGACACAAGAAGAAATAGAAAATCTGAATAGACCTTTAACAAATAAAGACATTGAATTAGTAATTGGAAAACTTCCTACAAAGAAAAACCCAGGGGTAGATTGCTTTGTTGGTGAATTCTACCAAACGTTTAAAGAAAACTTAACACCAATCCTTCACAAACTATCCTAAAAAATAGAAGAGGAGGATACACTTCCCAACTCACTCTATGAGGTCAATATGAGAATACTTCAAAAAGCTTATGAAAAAATAGAATTAAAAGATAATACAAGTATTTCCATGAAATTTTTGAAGACCACTCATATTACCCTGACAGTAAAACCAAAGATATCACAAGAAAAAACTACAGACCAATAACCCATGTTCATGGATTGGAAGAAAATATTTTTAGATGGCAGTACTCCCCAGTTTGATGTATAGATTCAATACATTCTTACCAAAATCTCAGCTGCCTTTTTGCAGAAATCGACAAGCCGATTTTAAATGCATATGGAAATGCGAGGGACCCAGAATAGCCAAAAGAATCTTGAAAAAGAACAAAATAGGAGAAATTACACTTCTTGATTTCAAAACTTATTACAAAGGTATGGCAATCAAAACAATGTAGTACTGACATAAGGATAGACATATAGATCAATGGAATTAAATTGAGAGTCCAGAAATAAACCCCTATATTTATGGTCAATTGATTTTTGGCAAGGGCATTAAGACCATTCAACAAGGGAAGAATAGTCTTTTCAAGAAATGATGCTGAGATAATTGGATATCCACCTGCAAAAGAATGATGTTGGACCTGCCTACCTCACATCATATACAAAAATTAACTGAAAATGGATCAAAGATGTAAATGTAAGAGCAAGAGCTAAAAGTATATATCTTAGGAGAAAACGTACATGTAAATCTTCATGATTACATTATTGGATTAGGCATTGTTTTCTTATATATAATACCTAAGGCATAAGTAACCAAAAAAAGAAGAAATATATAAATTGAACTTTATCATATTAAAAAACATTTCTGCTGCAAAGTACATTGTTAAGAAAGTGAAAAGACAACCCACAGAATGGGAGAAAATATTTTCAAATCATATATCTGATAAAATACTTGTTTCGAAAATATGTAAAGAACTCTTACTACTCAAAAATAAAAAGACAAATAACCCAATTTTAAAATGGGCAAAGGATTTGTATAGATCTTTTCCCAGAGAATATATACAAATGCCTAATAAGCACATGAAAAGATACTCAACATCACTAGTCATTGGGGAAGCACAAATCAAAACTACAGTGAGGGCCAGCCTGTGGCTCACTCGGGAGAGTGCGGTGCTGATAACACCAAGGCCACTGGTTCGGATCCTAAAAAAAAAAAAAACTACAGTGAGATAGTACTTCATGCCCACTGGGATGGCTATAATCAAAAAGTTAGACAATATGGGGCCGGCCCGGTGGCACACTGCTATAGTGCGCCGCTTGGGAAGCGCGGTGGCACTCCCGCCGAGGGTTCGGATCCCACATACAGACCGGTTCCTGCTCACTGGCTGAGCGAGGCGCGGGAGCGACACCGAGGGTTGCAATCCCATTGCCGGTCCCGGTCCGGTACGGGGGCGACACTGAGGGTTGTGATCCATTGCCGGACACGGAAAAAGACAAAAAGGAAAAAAAAAAAAAGACAATAACAGATGTTGACAAGGATATAGAGAAATTGGAACCCTCATAGAGTGCTGATGGGAATATATACTGTTGTAGCCACTGTGAAAAAGTTTGGAGCTTTGGGCCGGCCCGGTGGCGCACTGGATAGTGCCCTCAGAAAATTAAATGCAATCTTATCATAAGACCTGGCAATTTCATTCCTAGGTTTATACCCAAGAGAAATGAAAACTATGTGCACACAAAAATTTGTACTCTGATGTTCATATCAGTATTTTTCATGATAGCCAAAAAGTAGAAACAACTTAAATGTCCAACAACTGATGAATAAATAATGTGATATGTGCAATGGAATATTACTCAGCAATAAAAAGGAAAGGCACACTGATACATGTTACAGTATCTGTGAAACTCAAAACATTATGCTAAGTGAAAGAAACCAGACATAAAAGGCCATATATTATCATTCCCTTTATATGAAATGTTCAGAATAGGTAAATCTATAGAGACAAAAGTTGGATTATAGGTTGCCAGGGGCTAGGGAAGGGGAAACTGAAATGTGACTGCTAATGGACACAGTTTCTCTTAGGTCGATGCAGGTGTTCTTGAACTAGATAGCAGGAGTGTTTGCACAAGTTTGTGAATGTACTAAATTGCACACTTTAAAAGAGTGAGTTTTATGCTATGTGAATTATATCTCCATTAAGAAAAGACTGCTTCTGTGTATGTGCAGTGAAGAAAGGGTGTCCAGTGACTCACTCCCCTGTACTCAATGGCAGAATCATCAGACCCTTCCTCAGACATTGCATTTGAAACAGGCAGCTGTAGTTTTGAAAATAGATAACATTCCTACTCTGCTTCCTGTCCATCTTAAAGGAAGAGTGGAGCACCTGCCAGCAGGAAGTGATCCACTGCCTGTGTCTAGAGTTGTCATTAGCCTTCCCAAAGAGCAGAAAATCATGTATCTTACTCTCTGCTTAGAGAGTGTGAATTTTCTCACCAACATATTGATAGGAAAAATAAGTTCTGGTGCTCTAGCGTGACAATAGCTAATAATATTGTATTGGATGTTTCAAGATAGCCAGTAAAGAGGACCTTGAATGTTAAAACCACAAAGAAATGATAAATGTTTAGGTGATAGATATGCTACGTATTCTGACTGGATTGTTATACAATATATGCATGTTTTGAAACAACAAACTGTACCCTGCAAACATGTACAATGAAAAAAATAAATTAATTTACATAAGTGAATAAAACATTAATAAATCTAAACCATGTAAGCTGTAAACAGCTCTTTCCATATGTTGATTATATTGCAGAATTTGAGTTGGATTATTTCATTCTAGTTATGCATGAAATGGTAGTTATAACCTGGAACTATATGTTTCCAAAAAACAGAAAGTCTTCTTGGGAACATGGGTATTTTCCTCTTTTTGGTAGAAGATCCATCTTTATTTGGTCCATTAGAAGGTTCAAGTAAACTTTTAGGCCGTGAAGGATTAAGACAGTGGCCGTATACTCTGATTGCTTTTGGGGTGGTGGTAGAGGTAGGGTCTGTTCATAAGATGTATCCTCTTTAAGAAAGGCAAAGTTTTTCAGGGAGAGAATTATGGATTAATGTGCGTGGTTATGTGTGTGTTGGGAGAAGGGAAATGATTTAGAAATTCATGAAGGCACACAGGTTCATAGCATGGCAGGGCAAGAGGTCTGTCTGATAAGTAAAAATCGGATTAGAGTGAACTGCAGAGATGCTTATACGTATGTGAATCATTTGACTAATGTCTTGTGCTTCTTGTCCTTCCCAGTAATGTGCTTTGGTAGAAATATGCTTTGTCCAGATGTGCCCTGGCACTGTTGACTGATTTAATTACAGAGAGCAGCTTTCCATTTCCTTTGACACAGGCAAGCAAATAGAATAAGATTAACACACCAGAGATGGGTGAATAGTTTGGTGTTTGAATTTACCTTCTGCTAATATGTTTGGGAGAGGGCTTAATAGAATTTGTGCTACAGTCTACTTCCTTTTCATCTTCCACCTATTTTTTCATTGGCTTGCATCACAAGGATTTATAGATTTAATGTGAAAAACACTCATATGTCTGCAATATTTTTTATTCTCTACATTGTTCTGAAATTGCTGGAGAAAAATTTACTTTTCATTTGTAGTTTCTCTTGTGTCCAAAATGATGGTCATACCACAAATAATAAAGTGTGTATTAGACTAATGTGCTTCTCAAACTTTAATCTGCATACAGCTCAACTGGGGATCTCGTTAAAATGCAGATTCTGTAGATGTAGGGTGGGACCAGCTTTTCTGCATTTTTAATAAGCTCCCAGATGATAATGGTGCTTGCTGCTGGTCCAGGACCACATCTTGAGTAGGAAAGCGTTAGAATACTGTATTTGGACAATAAGTATTCTCCCTGCAGTGAGACCGAGGCTAGTATTCAGGTCAGGTCTATAGCTGGAAAATACTATTCTTAAATTGGGATGCCTTGTCCAAGTAGAACAGCGTAACTTGTTATACCATCCAGAGCCACCGGGTTAAGTTTATAAATACTCCTTATAGATCACAGTTATTTTTATCATAGTATAGTTCTACCCCAGTTTTCTACTTCCAAATCATTCAAGTAGTTTTCAGGTACCATTTAATAAGTATGGACTCTAGATTGTGGAACAGGCTTGAAATATGAGTGGAGCTTGTGCTTCTTCACTCCTTCTCTGTGTTTACAGCTCTCCATTGGAGGCATCATCATTCTGAAGGATACCAGTGAAGACATTGAAGAGCTGGTGGAACCTGTGGCAGCACATGGCCCAAAAATCGAGGAGGAAGAACAAGAGCCAGAACCCCCAGAACCATTTGAGTATATTGATGATTAAGGACCAGAGGTGTGTCTACAACAGAATTGTTTATGAAGAAAAACCTCTTCGTCAATAACTTCAATAAATGTTTCTCAATAAATGTTTTATGCAAGGGCATCATCTCACTTTTTCTCTTCCTTTTGTGCTTAATCCTTATTTACGTAAACAGTTTTAAAACTTCTTGCTTTTTTGGTCTCTTTCTGCATACATAACCACAAATTCCATTTTCTTTCTTCATTGACTCTTCTTTCTTCATTGACTCTACTCTCTAGTACTGTACCACTGCTGTTCAAAGTGGCTAGTCTGCAAACTGTTTTATAGGTCCATAAGGAGATAGGAAGCTTGCTCCAGAATGTAAATCTACTCAGTGCTTTTCTCAAAGAGAAAGTCTTCTCCAAAAAAGTCACCTAGGCAGTATTGATAACACCAAGGTCAAGGGTTCAGATCCCTATACTGGCCAGCCGCAAAAAAGTCACCTGAACTGCACAGTTTGCTTACTGATGGAGGTGATTCACATTCTGATGTCAGCTCCTTGTAGTGGAGCAGTTATAGTTGGTGGACTGGCACTGGTCCATAGGTCACACTTTTGAGTAGCGCAGCTATAGACTTCTCACTGATTCTTCTCGCTCCCTGTCTCCTTTGTCAATACTTTTGACACTAAAAGCCTTAATATTCATTTATTTAGTGGAGCTGTTGAACACCTAGTGTGTGTAAGACTGTAAGACAGTAAGACAGGGTGCTTCTAGGAACTCTGGGCTCAGTTAGACTAAACCACAAAGCTTTGTTCAGTTGAAAAAGATTATTTTTACTCTACTGTTCTAAAGGGCTTGAAAGGGGTCTTTAGATACAGAAGATTGGAATAATATAATTTTATGAAATTGTCATTCTTAGTTCCCCTGTTTCTTTTGAATGGTCATCACATATTTGAAGACATATGTGAACTATATAATGAAGGTTCTCTAATTCTACCCTAGCACAAATGCATTTTCAGACAACCATGAATCTATTCTCCTCTTAAAAGTAAATAAGGACAATATCATTTATTACATTATCACAAAATAAAAAATATGTTTAAAGGTCTATTGGCAAATCTAGTATGGTGAGTGTTAACACATTGACTGGCAATTAATGAAAGCTTGCAGAAATCTTGATGAATATTAAGACAGAAATCCTGCCATTAGTAGGAAAATATATCTGTGCCCGAAGGAGACTATTAGTTTGGGCCTTACAGAAAGGGTAACTTCCCTGCTATCTAAACTTACTTTTGAAAATTATCTTTCAGCCCTGATGATCTTCTAAGCTTTACTCAACCATTACATATCAGTGTAGATATCGTGATCACTCAGTCTCTATCACAGAATTGAACTGACTCACATTAGTTACCTTCAGCCTTTCATAATACCTTACAAAAAACTGTTTACAGCTTTCGAGGCAATTAACTACAAAATGGCTTAGAAGTTTATAGCTGGAAATTGGATTCTTGTTAGTTTTTAAATTATTCACCACATTAGGAGTTTGAAAACCATAGTCTGTTTTGGCACAGACTGGCATATTAGGAATACAGAGGCAGGGTTTGGGCCCAGTTTTAGATTTCAACAGCTATTAGTAAAAAAAAAAAAAAGTTTTTGATATAAGAATGACCCTAGTTTATACCCCTTCCCTATCCCAGGATCTCATTTGCTCATCTGAAGATTGTCCAGGCTCATGTTGGAAATACCTATGAGGAAATTCGTGCATGTATCATTGCCTCTGCGCTGACCCAAAGAATCCTGTCTCCAAGTCTTTGGTTGAAGAGAAGATATATGACTATTTAGTGTACTCTTTCACAGAACCTGGTTTCCAAATAAATATATTAAAATCTCCAGATTGACAAAGACTTTTGCTTATTTGTTTTTCAGCCTGGTTTTTTAATAAATGGATCTAATCCCCCACCATGAAATACATAAGTGCAAAGAGCTAATTCCTTGATTTGGTAGGATTAGTATACATGGCTTTTATATTGGTGAAGAAGTTAAGCTATTAAATTTGTTTTGGGTGGCTGACTGGCATGGGGATCCGAACCCATGATCTTGGTGTTACAAGGAATTATTCTTAAATTATAGACCATTTGAAAATAATGAAAAGAAAAAAGTCAAACCTGGCTCATCACCCCAGGAATTCTCTGCAGTTTTTTTAGTGGAATAGAGGGTGGGGTGCCGTCACTTATTGAAGAAATCCCTTTAGTGATCCAAGAGAAATGTCCGTGTAGACAGCTCGGAAGCATTTTTTAACCACCTTTGTTTATTGTTTTCTGCTTTTGATCCCATTAAGGACAACAGAAATAAATAATTTTTCATTTAGCCACAGGATCTGATAATGTACCTATTTTTCCTTTCTCTTTTTCCATTTTTTTAAATGTTTTTTTTTAAGAAATTGAGATATTTAAAAGCAATAAGATGCAGAAATTTGAAGTACATACAGTTTATATACTTCTGACAAGTACAAAGTAGTTTTGACAATTTTGATTTGTAGATTATCAGGCCTTTCTTGGATGCTGGACTTGTAGAATAAGCAGGCAGGCTCGATATTCTGACCTTTACCCCATCTCCTAGTGTTCAGGCCTATAAAATGGATCTTTCTGATATACTGGGACATGGGAATGAATAATAGCTGGATTTGAGTTGTTTTGCATTTAGGTCTTCAGTCATGTATATTTAAAGGTAGTTTCCAAAATTATATGTGAACGACACTTTGCTCCCACCTTGATTCTTTCACTTCTTGATTTGGGATATAGCCTTCTGAGTCTGAAAAAAAAACTGTTCTCAAAGGAAACAAACTCCTGGGTAGATCAGTGCTAATACATTCATCTACCATAGCTCGTTTAGTCCATGTCTAATAGTTACTGATCCCAAAGGATGGTTCCACTCACTGGTTAATTTCATTGTATCCCCTCCTTTGTAAATTCCTTGTTTCCTCAATATCAAATGATTCTGTAAAAGTGATTATTTCATTTCCCAGCCTCTCATTAGCTATTGACCTTCCTGTTCATGCTCTTAACATTGCTTGCATTTCAGAGTTATCTCTTAAATTTCCCTCAATATATGAAATGTTTAAAAAACAGAAGTCTCTCAATGATGTCACTGTCCAAAATTGAGTAGTCTGGGAGGAGTGGTATATTCACTGGCCTCCCGCCAAAGTTATTACATTCCTTACAAAATAATAGATTGATCTTCAGGAAGCAGCACTAGTTCCTGTTAGGCAGTGCAATTCAGAATTAAAATCTTGAGATTATAGCTTTAAACAGTGCAGCCTATAAACTAATATGGCCACCTGCATCAGATTATGATGAGACTGTCAGCTTTCCTGACGGATTTTTTTCCTCAGAGACTTCCAGGGAAATGCATAGCACTGAGGGCTAATCGAGGAACAAGGAAATCTAGAGTGAAATAGAACAGGGTGAGATAAAGTCACATGAAGACAGGATGGGAGCTAGAATACATCCAGTAGAAGAAACAAAAGGGAAAATGGCAGTAATTACCCCCAGATGATGTCATTGTGGTGCACTGTTTCAGAGTTGAAGGCAAGTGGATGCACAACTATGAAACCGGGTGGAAATAAATGGTTTGGCTTCTTAAATTGGACTTAATCCTAGAATCCAGTCTTTCTCCTACTGGTCTGCAGGTAGAGGATTCTGTTGACTCCTGCCTTTTAAAAATACTCTCCTTGGCTTCTACAACATGCTCTGATTTTTCTCCTGTCTCTGACCCCGCCTTCATTCAACAAATTGATTAAGTGTTTATTTAAGCGTCTATTTGTGCAGGTATTCTTTGGTTCTCTGGCAGGCCCTGCTCCCTCCAACTGCTCTTTAACTGTTTTAGCCTTCTTCAGAATTTGGTCTTCGGTCCTATTCTCAAATCTCTGCATTCTCCAAGCAACCTCATCCATCTCACACCTTCATTCACCATCTTTGTGCTGTTGACTCTGAAACCCACATCCCTCCCATACCTTCCTTTCCTCTGCGCTCCTGATGTGCACATCCAGCCACCCAGGAGCATCCACATTAGGCTGCCTCACAGGCAGTTCAAACAACATATCCAAGCACACCCCACTTCAGCCTTCTCTACTCCTTTGGACTGATGCCAAGCCCTCCACCCGGTTGCCCACACCAGAAACCCAGGCTCAACCTTGACTCAGTGCTCAGCCTCTCAGATGTCTCTCCAGTTCACTCACTATCTTTCCCTACCCAGCCTTCTCTACTCCTTTGGACTGATGCCAAGCCCTCCACCCGGTTGCCCACACCAGAAACCCAGGCTCGACCTTGACTCAGTGCTCAGCCTCTCAGATGTCTCTCCAGTTCACTCACTATCTTTCCCTACCACTCACTACTACCAGCTAAAGCACTCAACTGGTCTCTCTGCCTCCAGACCTGGCTTAATCATCCATTTTCCAAATTGATCTTTCTAAAATGGAAGTCATGTTAGTCTCCTCCTTAAAAGCTTTCAGTGCTTCCTTGTTGAATAAAGCCCAAATTCTTTCATATGTGTCCATGGCTGACCAAGGCTTTGGCTGTGGCTCACCTCTCCAGCCTCCCGTCTCTTCACTTCTCCCACCTCACACTCAGAACTGCTTTCACTTCCTCCAAAGAACCAGGCTTCTGTCACTGGCCCTTGCTCACACTGTTCCCTCTGCCTGAAATACTCTCCTCTTTTGATTCCCACCGTTTTTCTGTCTAGATCTGGTAAACCTACGAGTTATTTAGGTCTCAGTATTTAGAGTCTTCCTCCAAGAAGACCCTGATTTCTCCCACTGAGGCTGGACGAGGTTCTTCTCTCTGCTTCCCCAGCATGTGATATTGCCCCCCATTGTCTTTCTCTCACTGTATTATCATTCATTGCCTAGTTTACTTGCCTAACTTCCCCCACATTTGTCTTGCTCACCATTGTAATCCTGGCACATAGATTATGGTCACATACTCGTTGGCTAACTATTCTTGAGAGTAGTAGAAGGGAGCCACACTGAGCACTAACAACAATTAGGACAGAGCTCATGAGCACGGAAGAAGGGCATTTGTCCATCTGTTTCAGAGCTGCCTTTCCCAGGGGCCACATGTCTCCTCTCACTGTCTTCCCGCAGTGACAATGCTCCTGTTCAGGACTGTCTTTTAATTGGTTTTGCTCTTGAAGAACCCCAGCTTTTCTTTGTGTTTACAGGCAAGATAGTGTCTCTAGAAGCTATAACTGGCATGGGATGATGAGAAGAGATGAACTTGGGTAAATAAGCATTTGTGGCTTTGTCCCAGACACGTCCCTAACCTTCTTATATCCATCCATTGTCTTTCTCTCACTGTATTATCATTCATTGCCTAGTTTACTTGCCTAACTTCCCCCACATTTGTCTTGCTCACCATTGTAATCCTAGCACATAGATTATGGTCACATACTCGTTGGCTAACTATTCTTGAGAGTAGTAGAAGGGAGCCACACTGAGCACTAACAACAATTAGGACAGAGCTCATGAGCACGGAAGAAGGGCATTTGTCCATCTGTTTCAGAGCTGCCTTTCCCAGGGGCCACATGTCTCCTCTCACTGTCTTCCCGCAGTGACAATGCTCCTGTTCAGGACTGTCTTTTAATTGGTTTTGCTCTTGAAGAACCCCAGCTTTTCTTTGTGTTTACAGGCAAGATAGTGTCTCTAGAAGCTATAACTGGCATGGGATGATGAGAAGAGATGAACTTGGGTAAATAAGCATTTGTGGCTTTGTCCCAGACACGTCCCTAACCTTCTTATATCCATCGTAAATGAGACAACACTTCCACTTTCCGGAGAATCCCTTAGCAAGTGCTTTTTGCCATTTCTAGAGTTTAAGTTCCTTTTCTGTCCTCTCATTCTTTACAGTTAAAACTGTAAGGGCCTACATAATGGGAAGATTGTGGACTTTGGCCTCAGACTTAGGTTCAGATCCTGATCCTGCCCCTTAGTGGTTTCCTCATTGGTACAGAGGAAATAATGTTCATCTCAAAGTTGTTATGAGGATTAAATAATGGCTAATTATTACATGCTTACTATGTGCCAGACACTATGGTAAGAACCACATGTATTGTTACTCATTCCTCACAACCACCCTAAAAGGTAGATGCTATTATCTAGAGATGATCTATGTTAAAGAACAGAACTTAGTAAGCACTCACTAAAATTTAGTTGAATCAGAATGGTGTCGCTAAATTCTCACTTTACACACGAGGACACTCAGACTTGTTCAACATCGAAAGCCATTATTTGCAGCTGTGTTTCCAGTTCATCTTTTCATCACATTGGTTTCTGGCCTCTTAATTTTCTGGGATCATTTGCTCCAAAGGGTCAGCAGAACCACAAATAGCCATTTCTCTGCCTATCCTGTATCCATATTCTGCTCCAAGTTTGTATCGTCCTTCATACTCCTAAGCCAGTATGCCTTTTGAGAAAGGAATTACTTACAAAAGCATCATTTCCAACTACCTGTAGCCTCTAGAACATAGCCCATTGATAGGCATTTCCCATCTGTTTGCTGGGAACTGGGCAGTTGTTTCGGTGAATGCACTCAATGTTTTCCAAATCAGTGATTTATTTATAATAAAATTGCATCCAGGAGATATCCTTTAAAGATTTGGGGCATTATACAAAGCTAGGACCTGACCAAGAGTTGGCCGGAGATAAAGGGTTTCCCATCAAGTCTTATTCCCATGACCTGGTTTAAGCGGCTGCTGTCTCTTACGCCATCATCTTCTGTGAGAAGCCCTGGTTCATTTTCCAGAGAATTAAGAGGTTTATAAGTGCACAAGGCTTTTTGCTTATGTTGCATATGATCTAGCATTTCCAGTAAGGGTCTCTAGGCAAATTCCTTCCTTTGTTTCTGGA